TTCCCGAGTAATATCGCAGTGAGATCTACCCAGATAGGTGTCTATGGCTTCAAGTGGACTGCACAAATTGTACACGAACAATCATACTGACCGAGACTTCTGATTAAGTAGAGACTGTCTGAGACATCCCTTTAGTTAAGCAGACCTTCATACTCAACCACTCATTGTGCGTCATTTCGGGGTAAGATCCGTGTTCTACCTGCCGTATTCCGAAGAAGGATAATAGTATGACTCTGCTTCACACAAATCACTACTCAACGCTATGAACAACGAAGTAACTTATTAGCGTTTATGGCAATACACACATTGAGTCGGAGATTAGCACAACCTCATGCTAAGTATGTGGGTGGATGTAGTGCCTTGCAGAACCCTCGCGTGGTATATGATCAAGAGCATCGCTCAACACCATTTGTGCATGTTGGCTTTATAGTGTTCTCCGTCATTAGTTATAATAAGTGAGTGAGCTGAATGGGCCTTCTCTAAACACCAATACTACGCGTGGTGCTCGAGAGAGAACTATCTTTCGTGAGTAATATCATCTCTTTTGTGTATGAGGATGAGTCTTATGTATAGTGAGGATATTCTCGTCATGCCCCTTACTCTTTGTAGGAATAAAGCGGAGGGATGGAAGGACCAAGCAGTTGATAACACTTGTATTGTACGTGAAATCGATGATGGGGAGGACACTTGGATTGGTGAGAAGTCGTAAGTTTATCGAGTATGTGATTTACTTTCATGAATCAGACAAGAAAGTGCATTGTCCCTACTCATTTCTAGAAACTATTGAGCAAGCCAGGGCGATGGTCAGGTGAGTGTGAAAGTGTTTGGACTCTTTTCTCAGAGACCTTTTCATGTACCAGTCAACAATTGTCACCCAATAATTTGCAGTTTTCCTCAGTGCCCTACTACCAAACGATCAATATTCAATGACTTGTTAGTCCAACAACATTTAGCCATCAAAGGAGTTGTCAGAAACTTCAGTCAAGATCGATCTTTCATTTCAGTCATTCTCATTTGCCCCAAAGATCAATATTAATTAGGCAGTGCTCTCATAAAAAGCCACTGAAATTAGTTTCGACATCCACCTTTGCACATGAGTACAATTCAATTATTCTCGGTCAGCGAATTGGTACTGGCCAGTCTCAACAAGATAGCTCTCAAGGATGTTGTTCAACATCAGTATGTTAGTGCAACTGGTTTCAAGCAAAGGAGATCTGTCAATTTTCGTTGTCCTCACCAGGTTTTCTGGAGGTACCATTCACGACCTGAGGCTCTATGTGAAGAAAGGCAAAGAGACTCACAAACACTTCGATTCAGTCTGGACCTCAGTAGCCAAATATCTAGAGGAGAGAGAGAGAGCGGGAATTTGACGAGGTTGGGACAAAGTTGATCCGAAGTTTTGGACCCAAGCTATACACTGACTACCCTAGACCTCCTGGTCCCTTTCTCCTCACAGACAACTCTTGCTGGGGTGATTTGGTGGATCTGGCCAATAGGTATATATCCCCTGCAGAGATCGACAACGAGGCCGTGACCGAACCGTCGGAGTTGCGGCACCTCAGGCGAGGGATTTTCTCCCAGCCATGTCTTCCTACACTGTGGGAGGAATTTTGTGCTATGGTTAACTTTCGTGTCATGGGTCTTGAATGGAAGTGTTCAGAACATGCAACCTTTAGGTGGCTTTATATCTCGAGGCCACAATCTCAAGAGGTACATAGACATGGCTCGAAGCACAAGAGACGCACTGTCAAATGAGAGATTGAGGATGAGACCTTAGAGGGATGAGTAAGGACTCCTGACAAGTGTTGGCCATGCCAATTCATCTGTACGTTCTGAAATTATTATGAGTTCTTACTTTTCCCTCACTCATCTTGCCTGTGCCTTGAGTCAATCTGTCCTGTTTCTTTTGCACCGACTTTGCTTGATGATTATGTTTCCTGATGATCTTGTCACATTTCTCAAAATTAGTAAATTGGCAGAGTTGATACAATGATACATGCATGACACACCAAAATTCATAACTATCATTTGTATGATCTTTGCTTTTCTGAATCAAAATAAAAGATCCCTAAGGCCGGGGACTGACGAAGACCGCAATTGAAGGGTCTCGCTCGAAGCCGGACGCACACAACAGGAAGGGATTTACTTTATTTAATTCATTTGTGTATTGCAATCGAGCTAAAAATACTAAGTGACAGCCTGTTGGCTTTCTGGTCTCCTGAAGAGGCCGGACTAGAACACGTGCGACAATGGGCACAATAGCATTTGCCCAATCAACGAACCACGCGCTCCATAGCGTGCAAGAGAGTGTGGGTGTATGCGGGGAGAGAGAGAGAGAGAGAGAGAGAGAGAGAGAGAGAGAGAGAGAGAGAGAGAGAGAGAGAGAGAGAGAGAGAGAGAGAGAGAGAGAGA